GAACTCTATGATTACATGATCACTTTCACCCAAGCTGCCTTCCACTTTCAAATTCTCAACCAGTTCCTCCCTATTTGTTAGGATCCAATCTAAAACAGCTTCCCCCCGGTAGCTTTTTCAACCTTCTGAAATAAAAAGTTGTCTCCAATGCAGTCTAAGAACTTATTGGATAGTCTGTGCTCCGCTGTGTTATTTTCCCAACATATATCTGGATAGTTGAAGTCAGTTGTTTAAAAAAAGCCTCATCCACTTCTTCTACCTGGGTAGGTTGCCTGTAGTAGACTCTTAGCATGACATCATCCTTGTTTTTAACCCCTTTTAGCCTAACCCAGAGACTCTCGACACTTCCATCTCCTATGTCACACTTCCGTCTCTTATGTCGACTATAGGGCAGGTGTTGAGCTTTTTGAGTTTGTATGCAGAGCACTTGCATACATACTACAATAATAATTTGCTATTGGTGCTATAGTTTTTAGAGCTCTAAATATTAGCCAGTATCTGTTGTTTCAGGACAGATAAGTTGAAGTTTAAGGGCATTGCTGGGGAGAAAAGAGCTTGAACAATTCCCCTGGCAGTCTCATTCTTTTCACAAACTTGCCTACAGGGGGTAGTGTTCTCCAAGAACAATGAGCATGTGAACACAGGACTCAGAATCACCACAATTAATCTATATTTAGATCAACATTTCTGGAGAAAGCAGATTACAGAAATATAGGGTTAGCATAGCATCAAACAGGTATCTGAACCACGAAAAGAAGTCCTCAAAAGTATTTCACTGAAAATTAGAAGAGGTAGTAAAATGAGGAGGCATATAGCCAAAAACTGAAAGCTAGAGTCTTTCATTTGTTTCCATTTAGAATGCAGAAGCTCAGGCAGTCTGCAACTTTGCTCACCTTTGGCATTATTTACAATAATCCAAACAAAAGTAGCTAGGGTTACCACATGGTTTAACAAAAAATACCAAAGAAAAAATTCTGTAGAGTGGGGGAAAAAAGGAGGAGACCAAAGTTGTTAAGCAGAAAAAATATTTTTTTTAAAGAAGGCTGCCCCTTTAAGATGGCCGAGATCTTGGGCACCATTTTTAAAACCCCACATCTCCACCCAGTAAGCACAGGGAAGCTAGGGGTCAAGGGGGGAGCCGGCGAGGGTGGTTTTGGGGGGGCAGGAACGGCTTTGCAAGCTGCACTTTTGGGGGGCAAGAGCCACGGGTTGGCCACAGCTGGTGTTGAGGGAGGCATCACGTGGCCAGCTCCCAGGTCTCTGCTGGTTATGTGGGCCAGAGCAGCGTGCACTCCGCTCCCACCCCAGTCCGGCACCCACCCCAGCATGGTGCCCGGCAAGTGCACCCTCCTGCCCCTCTCCTCACTCCCCCACCAGATGCGGCAGGGGGAAATTGTCCCCACCAGCCTACCATCCCAGGGAAACAGGAAATACCAGACATTTCACATGTCCGGTATTTCCTGGATTTTTTTAATCAGACAGAGCCCGCAAATACCAAACTGTCCAGGTAAATACCGGACACCTGGCAACCCTAAAAGTAGCAACAAGCAAACAACATGCCAACAGGTCTTCCCCAGTACAACCCAACAGGCAGGGCTTTCTCCCCCAAACTGCTCATTCCCCCATAAACAATCACTCCCATGAAGCCCCACTGTCTTCAGATGCCTGGGCAAAAGGACGAACCATACCACCCAGCGTCTGAGCACCTCTGCCGATTATGAATGTGGCAGTATGCTATGGGAAGTGGGGTGGTCTTTTCTGCAGGCAGGTCCCAAGCCATTTAAGGCTATAGAGATTAAATGCTCTTGTCTATTGAGATCACTGAAATGTGGGTGGAGCCCACCAGAACAACAAATGGCCTGATGAAGGAGTGGCTGGGAGGGGGTTGAAAAC